ATCTTCTAAACGGCTGGACCGATTTTGATAATATTTTACTATCAGGTAGTTGTCTAAATAAGGATTTACTTAGTCTTGAAACCCCATAAAATTTTGCCTGGCCCGAACGAAGTCCACCACCGGGTACCAGCTAGTATAAAATAATAACATTATGTACACCAAGAAACTGAAAGAATAACAATAATTTTATCTCAAATTCAAATGAATTATTTTGCAGAAAACACTGTTTTAATAATTTGAAGTAATTTTCTGAAAATTGAAATATTTTAGGATATTAAATTAATGCAATGTCCTTCTTAGAGTAATAGTAATACAGGTCAATTATAAATGTATTCAGTAATATCTATTCAGTGGAATTGATTGGAAATAAGGCAATATTGTCCAGTAGAGTCACTCACTCGGTAAAGAGCAAAACATAATTTCTTTAAACAGGTTCTCTGTGAGGCCATAGTATCACTGGTCGGGCCAGGTCATATGATTCATGGCTCTCCTATGCAAGCAAAGATAAAGATACCAAATGCAACGTATATCAATACGTTTTCAAAGTTAGATGTTTAGTATAATAATGTAAAACTTTTATCAAAAGTCACAATATTATTTCGTCGTTACGACTTCGTATCGATATAAGATTGCATGAAATACATTCGATTTCTAAAATCGAATTTTAACGAAGTCATCGAAACCGGTTCGAATTTACATCCTATCAGTTACATCGTTAAAAGATGAAATTGTATGTGTCTGAAACTGTAAAACACCTGTGTAAATGAATAATAAAATGTTTGAATTCAATGTACTTACTTAAAATGGTTTTAATGTATAGATCTACGTATTATGCCTATCTCGGTTCATACACCTAGTACCTACAAATTATAACACTTATTAATTTATAGATAGCCAAATAAAAATATCCTTTAAAATAAAACAACGAAAGCTGATTTTAGTATAAGGAAGAAGAAAACGATAACAATGGTCATAAAAAAGATACCTTTGGTGTACACAAAAGCTGTAATGCCATCTGGCAGAAAACAGGTGAACTAATGGCGTATAACTGAAGGTAATAAGGCTCATTATGATGTACTGGCAATTAACCTGAACATTAATATTATTTTATTTATTTACGAAGAATAAGCGTAATACTTTTGTTCATCAGTTGTTTGTTTGGGTGTAAGTCATCTATAAAATGTTTTTTTTTAATAATTATTGGAACGAAGTTCCTTATGGCGCGTTGTGAAAGGGGCCTAGACGGAAAAAATTCTCACGAAAAGTTGTAACGACACTTTGTATGTCAGTCATTCAGCGCTATCTATCGAATAGATAGGAAATCATTACTTTTCATCTAAGTATTTATTTTGAATTGTCACTTGTCAGTCATTCAACGCCATCTATCGAATAGATAGGAAATCATTTCTCAAGGAGATTTTACCAATGTATAAATTGTTTTAATTAGAAACCAACTGAAAAATATGTAGGTAATAGCCGCTTTCATAGATGGCATTGTAATTAAAATTGTGTCGAATCAGTTTTACTCGATCGTCACAACTTCGTTCCTATCGGGTGTCCCACGACACCACACGGCTTTTTTATATAAGTATGTTTATCAGCAGTCAGTGTTACCATTTCACAGACTCCTAGTTTGAGATCAGGCAGCCGCGTGCGAGATGTCTGAATTTATTATTATTATAATCTTTCGTATTGTTACCCTTACTCTCAACAACAATGATTGTAAACTCATGATGATGATGTTGATTGTATTGTAGTGAGTGATATCATCGGTGTTGAAATTTTTTAAACGAATTTTCACCACTTTGATAGGGTCTTTTTTATTAGCTAAGTCGTATAATAATATCATTGGTTTTCTTTTAAACAGTATGTTTCCCAGGAACATCTTTAAACACACTATTTTTCGTTGTGTTAGGTCGACAATCAAATGGCGCAGTGATCTCTTTCTGTGAAGCGGTAATGCTAAAGAAAGAAACGACTGAACAAGATAAGGAAATCGCATCGGCGGCAATATCAGCCGTCGACGGGGCCGCAGGTTCCCAGAGAGTAGAGACCTCTGGTGGCAGATTCATTGCTGCGGTAGGCAGCTGCGTTAGTATGGCGGCCTGGTCGCAAAATATGATCGGACTGCAACACATGGTGACTGGGCCTGGATAGGCCTGGCTTGGCGTGGCGTCAATCCGGGGGGGGGGCATGAAATAACACGAGACCGGCCTCAGACGCCCTGCTCTGGGGAAGACCTGTCGGGTGGATTTTAGTGGAAACACCACATATTCCCTGGCTCCTATGCCCTCGAGGAGCTTGAGATCCGGAGTGATTTTCCACACCATCAACAAAAAAAGGTCGACAATCAAATATGGGTACAGTACTACACAGCTTTTCAAACCGTTATAAATGAACAGAAAAGCTATGATTTTTACAAGGTGATTTTTCATGTGTTATAAGTATAACTCCAAAAGTATTTGTAAGAGATGCTCAAAATTTTCTAGTGACATTAAAAACCTCAATTAAACATCTAGTTTATTAGTTCATTTTGTTTATAAATTGAAAAGATTTTATTGCATTTGTACGCCAGGTTGCGATCGTAAATGTCTCTACGATTTTTTTATATTATGTAAAATGTATATTAATAAATTAACCAGATTATTTATACCGCAAATTTCATTTGACTAATTTAAATTTACTTTAAACCTATTTTCGTCACCATCAGTTTGTTTCTATGAGGATACGCATTTCTCGGCTTTAATCGTAAAGTCTTCAAACGATAACGATAACTTCAAAAGAGCCGACTAAAGGAAAAAACTACGCAGAACAACAGCACTGCAGAGAGAAGGAAAACTTGACACAAACCCTATACCAATCCGTCTGGCCAGCGTGGTATAGTAGGCCAAAACCTCCTTTCTAAGGAGAGGCTTATGTCCAGCAGTGGACTATTAAAGGCTGTTGATGAAGGTTATCGTTCAATCAGCACCTGAAATTAGCACTGCATTCCACAAATTTCCTCCATTCATTTCTTACATGCAGCTCGCCTGTGATCATAGGCAAAGTATATAAATAGCAGGTAAGATAATTTGAAATTATAGAATGGTGTTAGGCGTACACGATCCCTAACTTCTCAGAAAAAAGGTCTCTGATCCTAGGTATGTACCTGTTATCATAGTTATATCCTCTTTGATACCTCTAATTACCTACAATACTGCATTTTTGAATAACATAGTTAGGTACATAACATAGTTACATGGCTTCATTATGTCCTTATCTCAAAATTAATTTTCTTATGCTTAAAACTTCTCAATATAAAAGATTGGTCTAAATATACATATACACAGTGTTTTGAAGGAAGGTAACAACACGCCCGTCTACATATATAGAGATAAGCTGTCTCGCAATATAAATCGTTTTATTTTTTCTTAAAAACATACTTTTTTAATATCTTAATGCAACTCATTTTATAAAAGCTCGCGGTTACCATTTATAACTTACCTCTTGAAAAACAAATCTGAGTTTTTATTCAAAACAACGAGGAAAATATTCAGAGAAAAATATAACAAAGTCTGTTATGTTCAATTCTACCTAATGGGTTTGTTATTAACAAAATAAGAAGACCGAACCGAACGAACCTTGTTCATGCAGAACACCGTCAAAGCACTTGAGTATTTAAAACAAAAATAGAATTTGTGGTAAACTTAGGCAACAAAAAATAAGCAATCAGAAAAGTGTATATTCTAACTAATTTGATAAATGAGAATTTGATTATATTTCTTGAGCTTTCTTAGCCTCACATACGGAACCGATCTTCACGAAATTTTGAAGAAAGTAGTTGCCAATATTACTGTAAGAAAATACCTTTTATGCAAACGAAACTAAAGGTAAAAGCTAGCACTTGAGTTTTACAAACAGCATTTGACGATCCAATCGCAAAAGGAGGTTATGCTTTCTGAATGCCAGACAAGGTTAAAATGAGACGCAAGATATGTACGATAAATAGAGAGAATAAATGAGAGAAATATATAGAAGTTTCTACCGATAAAGGCTCTTTTATTTTATGACGTAGTTTGCTACTTTAGCCAGTTTGTTTTTGGTAGAGGAAAGCTGGGTTTGTTCATATAAAATATGGCGTTGATCGCTTATGTGATATTTCGGGAGAATAGCTGAGCACTGCCGCGGGTATTTGTATTTACTACGTTTATAAGCCATATTTCTGTTACCCGAGGAATTTCGGAATTTTGGCCCTATATTTCCTCGACCCTTTTATTTAGAAACCTTTATATTATATTTTCAAAACTTTGACTAAATTCCCGAGCTTTTTATATTTAACCCTTTTCAAGCAGCTCATGATAAAATCAAATTTAAAAGTGTGTCATTATTTTATTTTAGAAACAACAAACAAGTTAATTTCATCTTAATAATGCTGAAAATAAAGTACTTAATCAAATTGGCTCTATAATTGAGTGATCACTCATAGAATGGATAGTTGCAATCTTAAAAACTATTTGTTAGCTTCACTTGTAACTTCAAACACCGGACGAGCACCGCCTCGCTTCAGGGGTTAGTATTCTTTGTATGAAGTACTATGGACGTACGCTCACTACAGCAACTCCGAAGCGTCTCGCCCGCGGCTTGACCACGTGCGGATGGAGAGTGGACCACTCGGTCACGGTAGATGATAACATTACCGTGACTAGGTGACCGCGCGGTGGTTAATGCACGAGGAGTGCGGCGCCACTACTCCCCCTCGAACGTGTCTGTTGTATCGTTTTATGGTTAACAACGCGGCGTCCACCCGTCGACGACGAGACACGGTTGTGCTGGTAGGGTGTCGGATGGGTGTAATGATCTAATATCATAAATCAACTTTTTTTATGGAAGAGGGAGCAAACAAGCAGACGGGTCACCTGATGGAAAGCGACTACCGACGCTAATACTACTTATAATCAGCTGTAAATAAGTCTCAGAATTCAATATTAATCTATCACTAATTGTAGTATTAAAATGAAAATTTACAGGTTGGGTTTAGCTTCTAAGAGCTGATAAAAGAGTATTAAAAAGAAGTAGAAAGTAAAAATCTTCGGTGGCTATCAGTAAGCGCCTCAAGTTAAGGCACATACGAATAGTCTTAAAAAGTTTAAAATGGCTTTGTAATGAAGCCAGAAGATGGCCTTTGGCACAATTTCTTACTTTTTAATTCTGTTCGTCATTTAAGCTTTTTTTTAGTTTTGCTAAACTATAACTTTCTTTGATACATTTCTTTTTAGATAGAGTTGCTACTTACCAGATTGATTGTAACGATGAGTTCGTACTGTTGGTGCTTGTGCCCTTTCTTCTTCTTGCCCTGTGGAGTTTTGACTGCCGCCGCTGCTGCTGCAGCCTGCTTCGGGGGTGCTGTCTTCGCTGCTCCTTTTTGTGCTGAAGGCTTGACGGGCGTTTTTGGACCACCTTTTTGTAGAGAAAATGAATGTTTTATTAACTGAAACGCATATAATCAAAGGAACTTCTTAATTCAATTTCGAAGTAAAATAATTTTCGGATACCTTGTTTTATGATTATTAAAATATTAATATTTTATATTAGGTTTTAGTAAAACAATCTAATTAAAAGTGTTGAATAATTTGATTGCACCAGAATATGTTCTTTATATTCTTCTTAATTTATCTGTATCCAAAGAACAGTTTGATATTCTTAAAAAAATCTCACGGACGGATTAAGAATACAAAGCGTCACCACCCCTATTCACCCCGTGGGTGTCGTAAGAGGCGACTAAGGGAGCAAACTACGCAGAAAAACAGCACTGCGGTAGAAGGAAAACTTGACACAAACCCTTTTTTTTTTTTTTTTTTTTTTTTTTAACGTGTGGAAATCCCCTCGGACCGTCACCCCTCCGGGGTTTGCGGCGGGGTGGTGTGTCGGACTCGGACCGACTAAAACCACACGGTGTGCCACTCTGCGCCTGTAACAGGAGGGATCCGGGAACAGCTGTTGTTAAGACATCCGGACCCCTCCTAGCGCCAGCCCGCTCCTGGTGCGGGCTCCGTCTCATTGTAGATGTTCCTCTCTTTAGGCGACGTCCGGCACACGCGGACGCCGCCCCCTCGCGGCTGGCCAACTAATGCGGGTGGAGGGGAAACCCACCCCGTCCACCCGCGGCCACACTCAGGGCGGCATGAGGCTGTGGTAGGCGGGCCTCCGCCGCCCGGTTCGCCGGCGGCGGATCGGGTCCGAGTGGAGGTCGTCCTCCCGGGCCCTCTCCGCCGCCTCCTTCCGCGAGATTACTACCTCGCAGAAGGTTGCGACCGCGGTAAAACAACTGTCGCTACCGGCCATGGAGCGTACTACGGCCGGTAGCGAGAGATCCACTCCGATGACTGCAGTGAGGGCCCGGCGCTGCGCCGCCCATGCGGGGCAGACCGCCAGCGTGTGCTGGGCCGAGTCCTCACTGCAGTCGCAGTGGTGGCAGGCGGGACTCAGTTCCCTCCTAGCGACCGTGTGCAGGTACTTTCCGAAGCAACCGTGCCCGGAAAGCACCTGCGTCAGTCGGAAGGAAAGGGTCCCGTGCTGCCGCCCTGCCCACTCGGCGATGACCGGCTGGAGAGCCTCCACGGCGGCGAAGCCAGCGCGTGGAGTCTCCAGCCGGGACGACCAACGAGCCATCGTGGCTCGGCGAGCGGCTTCGCGCCACTCGCGCACATCCTCGGGCGGAGGGCGAAATCCGCTCTCCGCCCGGAAGTCAGCCACTCGCCGATAAACTTCGGCGAGCACTTCCGCCTCCAAATCCCACGGGGGAGTTCCGGCCAATGCGCACGCCACCTCCGTCGAAACGGTGCGGTAACCGCGTATGGCTCTGACCGCCATTACCCTCTGAGGGCGCCAGAGGCGTACCCTATTCTGGGCGGTCAGAGCCGCCGCCCACACCGGTGCACCGTACAGTGCCATTGACCGGACAACCCCCGTGTACAGCCGTCTTGTCGCGACGCTGGGTCCACCCATATTGGGCAAAAGTCGCCCTAGGGCAGACGCAGCGCCGACCAGCTTTGGAGCAAGCTGTCGGAAGTGCTCGTCGAAGAGCCACCTCCCGTCGAGGATCAGGCCCAGATATTTCATCTGGGCCCGAACCGGTACGAGGACCGAGTTGACCACTATTGAGGCGCCAGGGGGTGGACCACGACGGGGCCCATGGAATAACAGGGCCTCCGTCTTATCTAGGGCCACCCGTAAGCCCAGCGCCTCAATGCGCCCGACCACCAGGGAGACTCCCCCTGTGGCCAGGCGCGCCGCCTCTTGGAAGTTTGCCCCCCGGGCCGTCACGAGAGTATCGTCTGCGTAACAGATTACACCCAGCCCGGGGGGGAAATCGGCGCGAAGGGCCCAGTCGTACCCTATGTTCCACAAGAGGGGTCCAAGAACAGACCCCTGTGGAACACCGCACGACATGGGCCGACACCTCAGATTACCTTCTCGGTCCTCGTACACGACGGTACGCTCCTCTAAATAGTCTGCCACCAGCCGCCTCAGGTACTTTGGCACCCCATGATAGTGGAGTGCTTCCCTGATGCAGCTGAATGGCAGACTATTGAATGCGTTGGCGATGTCTAATGACACCGCCAACAGCACGCCGCCACAGCTCACGGCCTCTTCGGTCACGGCCCTCAGGCGCAACACGGCGTCGACTGTCGAACGCCCCGCCCGAAAACCAAATTGGGCGTCCGACAGATCGGGGCCCACCTCGCAGAGGTGCCGGACGATGCGGGCAGAAAGAACCCTCTCAAACAATTTGCCCGCCTCGTCCAGCAGCACGATGGGCCTATAGGCCGCGACCGAATCGGCAGGCCGTCCCGGCTTCGTCAGTAGGACCAGCTTCCCGCTCTTCCAGCACTCAGGGAAGCGTCCCGACGCCAAGCTAGCGTCGAACACCTCCCCGAGGCGGTCTGCCATGTGGTTGAGGGCCAGGGCCAGCACTCGGGCCGGTACCCCGTCTGGCCCAGGGGCGGTGTTCTTGGAACGGATCCGTAGAACAGCCGCCCCTACCTCCGATTCCCGGACGGGCGGAACATTGTCCTCCCCGTGCTCCCCGTCGTCTCCGGCCAGGGAGGCCATCGACGGGGGAGTGTGTTCCGCCCGTTGTGGGAAAAGGCCCTCAACCACTTCTCGCAGGAAGCTGGGCTGGAGAGTCTCCGTAAGGGGGGGGGCCCGACGCGCGGAGCTTTTGTCGCACCGCGCGGTAAGGGCGACCCCAGGGGTCACGATTAAGACCCTCCAGCATCTCCTGTCTTTTTTCCTCTTTGGCGCGGCTAATGGCCAGCTTCAGAGTTTTCCGCGCCCGTCGGTACTCCTCATGAAGCCGGTCCTCCTCACCGTCTCCACGGTGACGCCGCCGACTGCGCGTGTAGGACCTCCGGGCACGTGTACAGGCCGCACGGAGGTCCGCCAGCTCCTGGGACCACCAGTAGACCTCCTTCCTTGGAGGCCGACGACCTCGAACGCGGGGCATGGCCGCATCGCATACATGCGTAATCGCATCGCGAAAGCGGCCAGCCCCCACGTCGACCTCCTCGGTCGGAGCCTGAGGAGACAGCCACGAGTGAATTATGGCTGCCTCCTCTAGTAGGTCCCGGTTCAGCCTGGCAACAGCCCACCGCGGAAAGCGGGATAAACGCCGCGCCACGTGACCCCTACTGGAGTCCTGGGTCCGGGAGAGCTCAAATCGGATATACAGGTGATCCGAGAGCGTCTCAACCTCTTCCAGGACACACCAGTTCCTTACTCGTGCGGCGAGGACAGGGGTAGCGAACGAAAGGTCCACTATCGACCCCCCCTGCTGTCGCACGCACGTGTTGGTGGAGCCTCTGTTTAGAAGACAGAGGCCCACCGAGGCCGCCCACTCCTCTACGGCCTCGCCCCTGGCGTCCGTCCTGGGGGAACCCCACGCAATGGACTTTGCGTTGAAGTCCCCCAGCACAAGGACGTGCCCAGACGCTAGTCGCCGTATCGAGGTCTCCAAGCTGGTTAGGAAAACCTCGAAGTCGTTCAAACTCCGGTTGGGGGAGAAATAGACACCATGTATGGTGATCCCCCCCCACTCGACGGCAACATATCCAGTGCCCTTGTCTCTTAGCGACAAGGGCGGGGAATGAGCCGTCGTGGAACCGACGACTGCCACGGAGCCGTCCCAGTCACCCATCCAGTTTGGACGGGGAGGGACAGAATAGGGCTCCGCGACTACGGCAACACCTATCGACCACTGTGCCATGGTTTGCAGGAAGAGATCCTGCGCCGCGGCACAGTGGTTCAGGTTCGTCTGGACCAGGAGGTTGGAGACTTGATCCATTACTGGATCGTCTCTACAACCTCCTCCATGGGCGACGACGTCGACGCACGAACTACATCGGAGGCAGCCTGGGTCGACTGGCTAACCCCCGACGTCTGCCGAGAACTGCGGGGAGGCTTGCAGCCTCTCTGCCCCATCTGGTGATTGGCGGGCTTATTGCCCGCCGCACACACTGGGCAGTGAGGGGCGGCAGAGCATTCTGCCGCCTTATGCCCCGGTTGACCGCAGCGGAAACACAGTCCGCCGCAGTCAAAACAACTGTCGCACTTGACGCGCGTGTGTCCCGATGCTAGGCATTTGTAGCATCTCATCGGTCTCGCCGCCAGGACTGTGATCCTGGCGCTCACGAAACCGATGAGCAGCCTGCCGGCGTCGGCCAATACTTTGGCCGACGCTACGGGACAGCTGACCCACACGGCGCCAAGCCCTCCTGGACCGGGGCGGATGGTGCCGACCCTGACGTTGTCCGCGCTGCACCCCGTCTTCTCCCGGATTACAGCGCGGACATCTTCGGCCGTCACTGAGTCGTCCAGGCCCGAGATGCGCAGTTCCGCGCACTTGGTAGGCCTGGCGACCCTGACACCATCTGTGGCTGCAAATATTCCCCGCAGCTTCTCAGCGAAGGAGTCCGCCGTCTTTGCGCCTTCGGCCCCAGGGAACTCGAGAACTCGAGCTCCCGTCTGGGCGAGGCGCATCCTGACCCCCACCGTCCCAAACTCGTTGGCGAGGCTGTCCCGGGCCTTCTTGAAGACGGCCGCATAGGACAGCCCGCCGTCAGCCGCCTCCGGGGACACGGTCACCACTACCGCCGCGGTTTTGGGCGGCTGCAGCTTCCGCGGCCTCTTTGCAGAGGCCGTTGCCACCGGTGGACACAAACCCTATACCAACCCATCTGGCCAGCGGGGTATAGTAGGCCAAAACCTCCTTTCTAAGGAGAGGCCTATGTCCAGCAGTAGATTATTAAAGGCTGATGTGATGTGAGGTGTGTTGTGAGATTATTTTTATCAGTCATCTTGAATATGAAACAATATATCACGGTCAATAGTGATTTTGGTTAAATTTGAGGAATGGATATAATAGGAAATTGGAGATATTTTTAGTTAAATTGTTTTCTAGATATTCTATTAGGGATTTTGATAGTTATACCTAGATATTATATCTAGGTAATATTTAAGTTACAACAAAGTTATTTCGGCTCCTTGTCTGCTGCTGGAATACCTTTGTCTTTGAGAGTGCATCGTTAAACCCATTAGATAACAGGGCAACATAACATAAATATATAATAATCTATCAGAGACACTTACCTGAGTGTCTCTGATAGATTCAAAGTGCTTCTATCCAGAAAAAAAAACAGTAAATTTAATGATGATTATTAAGGTAATGATGAGTGTCTTCTAGTTATCAAGATAGCCAAAAGGTCATGAGAAGAAACATAGCATTAAGAACACGAGAGCGGCACTTACCTTTTTGACATGGAGTTGTTGCTTTTTGTCCTGCAGCATTTTTCAAGTTGACATGGCCACTACCATCGGCAGGCTTGTTCCGCGCCTGTTGACAATAAAATAATATTTAATTAATGAAGGATTATACAGCAACAACATTGATACAGTTTAAATCATGTTATATTAAGTTTGGAAAAAAATACATACACAATGAAAAAATACTGCTACAATTAAATATGGTTTTCATGGCCACTTTTTTGATAAATGAAATTTCTTCCATGACTTCTTCTTCAAATCTTTCAATGGACTTAAAAATAAACCTGAATTATTTTGGTGTATTTAATGACCCGCCATTAGACGTTTATATAATCGATAAGTTTTAATTTAATTTAACTTATGGTGTAGAGTCTTATTTAAGTTAAACATCAGTACAATAGATTCATGGGTTCAATTCTCACTCAGGCCATATAGTATAGGTAATTTTTTTGTATCTTGGTGCAACTTATTTATAATACGTATGTAACTATTTAAAAATATATAAGTACGTCTATCAGCAGTCTGGTTACCGTAGTACAGGCTCTGATTAGTTTGGAATCAGACGGCCGTGTGCGATGTGTCATGTTATTGTTATTAAATGATATTACTATACTTAACTGTGTAACTACTACGGTGTCAGTTTCTAAAGTATATACTATAGGTTACTATAGACTATACTAAACATACATTAGTGCATAGTTGGGTTTTCGAATGAACCCTTAAAACTATTTTCGAGTTTAACTTTGTTTTAGATTATGTTACATTTCAATACAAAAAACTTATATATTTGAAATTAAAATACAGCTATCAACTTTTTCTTAAGTTTTCTTAAAAACGCGCAAGGAATGAGACTAGCTTAATTAGTGCCTTTTATTATAGTATATATATATATATGTATAGTGCCATTTAAGGAAATAATAAATAAAAAATTAAAGACATCTTAGTTCTAAAAACTAATGGAAGATGAAAACTTTCTGATGTAACGAGTAATTTATAAGTAGGTAAATATGTTAGTATTTTTTGTTTCCGTAAAGTTCTAGTTTTTCATTTCATTTCATTTATTTAATTTTGTGATACACATGCGGTTGCTGATGTCAGTTTTATTATGTACAAGCTATGTTCCGCCGATAAGCATACAAAATATTAGGTACATTCCTTAGTCTCGTTCTAGTCTAAACGGCTACAATGTTATTATATTTATTTTGTGCGTCAATACCACTTAAAATATAATTAAGTGGAACATTAAAATTATTTATCTCTGAATATTTGTTTACAAAACTCTTCAATTTGGGAAAGCGTTGGTGTTGAATGACTTTGGATAAAACTCAAACTCTCTACGTACTTTGTGTGGTCGTAAATTATAACCTACCTTTACGAGCCAAGCCACTTAGCGCTGGAAATTTGAACCAAAACGATAAAATTTTATATTGATTTCACGCCCGTACTACAACATCAAAAAAAAAACATAGCCAAGAGCTTCGACCAACACCTTAAGAGGCTCACGTTAGACGGTTGGATCAAGGGTCTAATGCAGAAGGCAGTTCTCATTGACACGACTCGTATAGCGAGGAGGATCCTGTCTTTGGAGTCCTGACCACTGGTGTCTTGGTCCCTGTACCCGATATCGGTGGTCTACTATTTTTTATATTTGTGAATATATTTTTATTTTTCTTTTATAATTTATAAATAATAATAAAAATAAACTTTTTTAATAAAAGTTTTAACATAGCAGGATATTAATGCAGGCTTACTTAGATTCCGATTTCCATGTTTTGTGCTAGTTAGATATAAAAGTCGTTTGCACAAAGCTTAGGAAAGTATTCCGTAAATAAATATTCATATATTAAATACAATGAGATTGTTTCGTATAAAACTGACTAGTATGATATATAGTACCTGTTTTTACACTTTAAATACAATTCAAGTTAAAATAATATACAACCTAGTAAGAGTAACATTCGTAAAATGTTCCTTTAGTACAACATCAAAATTTTCACAACCACGTGCATAATAAATTTATCAAGAAAAAATTCTCACCAGTTTCGATCTTCAGCCAAATATTTACACATTTTACACGTCATATATTCATAAAAAAAGTCATGCGCAATTTCCGAACTTAGCTGGAAACTTCCTTATCGCCACAGCTCATAAAATTTAAAAAATATTCCCCGACATTTTTCAACGTGTCCAAAGTATTTATCATTATTTTATATAAAAACTCGTATTCCATTAAATTTGTGGCGCCATAAACGTTTCGTTGACAATTGTTCGTAGGCGAGACGGCCAACAAGCCTACTCGAAACTAACTATAAGCTTCGGCAAAAAGTGTAAATCTGAGCAGTGACTTTGTTGAAGCGTAATTTTTTATTTATATAGTTTAGATATTTATGATAGAAATACCTAAATTTTCCCGGTGTCGTATTTTTGTATCTTGGGTAATGAGTAATTTAAATGATAAGTTTATTTAAATAAAGCGAAAATATTCGATCATTACTGAAAACTTAAAATCAATCCAACAGTATCTAAAATTTTATTCATCTATTAGTCAAATTAAATTCTCAAAATCAAGTTTAATTCCTTTATTTAATGATATTAATTAAAATTACACTAAATTGACCATATTTTATTTTAAATACAAAATACATAGTAATCTTCCTTTCTATGTCCAGCAGTGGACTATTAAAGGCTGTTGATGTGATGATGTGACAAAATACAAAAATTTATATCAATACACACAGTCATCACAACAACAGACTATTTTGTCAAAACATGAAGTATTAAAAAATGGTAAACATATTATGTTAGTCATTGCTTTCTCGTATGCCAATTTGTATACATGTATCACATTTTGTTATACCTTATTACATGGGTATTTGTTGTATAAATCAGCTGCGACACAGGTTTTGCCCTATTCATACTTTTATTACTAGTTCTTGCCCAGAAGACGAAATACGACAATTATTCGCTAAATTATTGATGACAATAAATTTCTCGTCGCTAGGAAAAAACTATTCCATTGTTTTTGTATGAAAATCTTAGTCAATAACTATAAAACAATACACAAAAACATCATTGAAGAACATGGAAGGAAAGAAAATTTATTTATAAAACTGACCGATGAATAAATAAAAAGACGTGTGGTGTCGTGGAACACCCGATAGGAACGAAGTTGTGACGATCGAGTAAAACTGATTCGACACGATTTTAATTACAACGCCATCTATGAAATTACCATTACTATTAATTAATTAAATAACTAATTAATTATTATTATTATGGCTATTACCTACATATTTTTCAGTTGGTTTCTAATTAAAACAATTTATACATTGGTAAAATCTCCTTGAGAAATGATTTCCTATCTATTCGATAGACGGCGCTGAATGACTGACATAAAAAGTGTTGTTACAACTTTTCGTGAGAAGAGAAAAAACTGAATACCTGCAACTCTAACTAATTACTGTCGCAAAGACTGCCTCGGTGGTGCAGTGGTAGCGTATGCGACTGCTGTACTGAGATCTCAATGGTGCCTATGTATAATATGTAATTATATAAATATTCTATCAGTCAACCTAGCTTTCACAGTACAAGCTCTGCTTAGTTTAAATCTGGATGGCGTTTTGTGTCAGATGTCCGAAATATAATTATTATTAAAGGCCCTCTGATCAAACAAGTAATTTACTTAGGTATTTATTTATTGAAAGATAAAATAAAAACGTTATCAATATCTTTTGATACAAAAATGTCAAACAATAACACATAATTGGAAATCAAGAAACATTCGACATAATACTCGTACGACTTTTGATTCCGTTTTGATGGGTACACCAATTTGTCAACGCAGTTGTTCATATAAAGATCTCATGAGATTTATGATATCATGTTCGTTATACATGTCAAGACTTGATTTACAATCTGGATGTCAACAAGCAATTTAACAAATATAACAGACAGTATATTTTAAATGTCATGGTTTAAATCGTTTATAAGTCAGATTAAATAGTTCCTTCCTTTTATTTCAACGCCGTCGTCTTTTATTTGACTAAAATATATAATATATTAAATTAAAAATTCAGTTTTAAAATTTTATTGACTCAGCATTTTTATCATACTTTAATTTAAGAAACAAACAAACACTTTTTTCGTTGAAAAATGACCTGAATTACTATTTAAGTAGTAAAACTATTCTTTCTATGCTCCAATCATACGCGGTATAATTTGAAGTAAATAATGGATGAGAAAGCAGCAGGTACTTAGGTACTTGCTAAATATTGCCATCTGATTGGCCACAAAACACAGATTTATCTTATAATTCTAAAATAATTCCTGCAGAATAAAGACGATCAGAGAAAGAAAAAACAAGGGACGCTGGGGACGCGGGCACCTTGGAAACGTAGAGACTAGCGAAACCAATTTACTCTGAAGCCAGCTGTGTTTTAATCTGACACAGACTTTTATATTTCTTCAATTTTCTTTACATTTAAGGCAAATAAACCCTTCACTTTACTTAAAAAAAGTCCAATTTACCACAATGCTAGTTTTTAAAGGTAAAACATATTTTAAATTACGTGTTGATAAATAATACAAATGACAGAATGTATTTTCAAACATTAAGTCTCCACATGCAACTCAAATCAGTACCATCTCTGTATTCCTTTTACAAGTATCGGAAATTATGTTAAAAGAACATTCAGAATTGAAATAATGTACGCGATATTACAGTTCGCGTCATAAGAAACTAATAATTCAATAATCGTTAAATACACAGGAAAGTTATGATTATTTTTCTAAATTTATACAGTTTTTACAGTAATATGGCGCGAGGAAACATATCTTATTTGAATGTCTTATGTTAATAATAGTAAAGGCTGAGAATGTTCAGATCGAAAAAAAAACAAACTGTCTGGTTTTTCAACGTGATAATTATCCCGTTGAAAAACTAGCCTGTTCTTTTTTATATGAAGTTATTTTGCACCGCACAGCATGTACTGTAAAAGAAAAAATGCAGAACGCTAAATTTTTCAACAACATGTGTTTTAAAGTTAAATAATATGGAAAAATGGCTGCACAAAACTATAGGGTAGTATATCTTTTGATCTGTCGTAGTACAAATGTATATATATGTATGACAGTTCAAGTAATAAGCGGGTCTTCTGCTTTTAATGATATGCAACAATTTACATTTCAAGATTTGCAAGAAATGGCAGAAAACGAAGGTCTAATAAATAAATGAAATAACCTTGAACTTTTGTCATTAGAAAAACCCTTTGAAGTACCCAAGGAGTTTAATAGCCACCAATCAACTCCTAGAAGTTTTCTTTCATAAACTTCTATTGAGAAAAAGGTCCAATACCCAGATTACCAAAGTTAAAAAAAGACATATTGAAATATTTTAGGGTGATTTCGAATGTTCAAATGTGAATTCCAGGAAAACCACAGTGAACTAAGCGCCAGAGATCACGAACACGTAGCAGTCAACTCTGCGCATAAATTAAACGACTTACATCAGACCTGAGAGCCTTATCATTTTAGTAATGATTTATGCCATTTACGTGTTGAATACAAAATGTTTGGGATCATGTAAGAATTATATTATTACTAATTTATCCTTAAATTTGAGTATGTGACATCGACCTCTTTCATGAGTTAGATATATAATAGACGATTACGATAGATATAGATAATAGACGACCGAATGGCGTAGTGGTTTGTATAACGGACTGCTATTCCAAAGGTCGCGGGTTCGATTCCCGCTCAAGTCAAACATTTGTGTGCATGAACATTTAATGTTTGATTTGGTCTGGGTGTTTCTATGTATATTAAGTATGTATTTACAAAAAAAAAAATATATATGTATTTATATCAGTTATCTAGTACCCATAGTACAAGCTCTGCTTAGTTTGGGACTAGATGGCGTTGTGTGAATGTGGTACAATATTTAAAAAAAAAAAAACGATTTAAAACGTTTTCGATAATGCTTACATAATGCTACATAATTTCGCTGACCGCTATTTATTAAGGTACAAGCTTTTTATCTACAAATTCTTAGTTCGGTAGGAACTATCTGTTATCATCCTCAGTCCTCATTATCTTAGTTAGCGATCACTGAACAATTGCCAATATGTTCTGTCATGCACCGTTATTGTTCTAAACCAACGTGATTGGACAACTAGCTAGGACTTTTACTCCAAACTTCAACATCCATCGGCAGTAATCGAGAACCATTCTCAGTCAGCGGTCATCAGATCAGATGAGGTTTAAGTTTGCTGACGTAGTGACGGTTATAGAATAACAGTGTTGAAAATAAGAAGTAAATGAAATTTACAAAAATATAAATTGTGTGAAATAAAAGAAGTGAAAATAGTAATAATAAATAATAAAAAATACAATACATTAATGAAATAAAACTGGTGTAAAATAACAATTAAATATTCATGATAGTTAATTTATGTGTGAAAATTGTTTTTATATAATATTTATATTCAAGAAGAGAAGAAGAAGAAAAGTTGAATTGAATGGAAATTTGATTGTAAATTTAATTGTAGATAGGTATATATATTTTACTGTACTTAATTGAATTTTATTAAGGAATAAACAAGGCTTAAAATAAAAATAATAAATAAATATAAGAAGTGATGAGTTTCGTTCAAAAAAGCATGTTATATAATCATAGCATGATATAACATTTTATAAAATCTTTTCTCAGAGTGTCCAAAGCGCTCAGTGTATGTAAGTAACATATAATATTATAATATAATATGGAGATAGTATGGAATCATAACTTGATTAATGTAATAATGATAAATGGACGCGAAAGTAAATTGAAGACGAAAGACAATCTCGTTCGGTTTTCCTTCCTAATCCAGGGGCGTAAATTGGATTAGCGAATTGTCACCAACTAGAACACAGTGTCACTACCCTACTCTACTCATCCCGTAGGTATCGTGAAAGACGACTAAAGAAGCAAACTACGCAGGACAACAGCACTGCAAAGAGAAGGAAAACTGGCTGTTGTTGATTAAAGTAGAAAAAAAAGAAGACGAGATAGAAAAAAAAGTTTGTTTCTCACCTCCCTGCCTTATATTAAATTTCAAAATTAAACTTAAAATTGACATGAATATCAATCAATTACTTAGTCTTCAGGAACATTGACCTGGGATGTACCTCGTATACTCGGTCTGTTTTAGTATATTATATATTATTTAATCTTTGTCACAGCAAACTGTGCCTCAAATTATATGAACGATAAGAAAAAGATTACTATCATGAATATGTAACTGCTCCCAGCTGCGTACTTTTGCCAAAGAAATAAAATCCCCAGTCAAGTGCGGCGATTTAAGCGGCTATATCTTTAAGGAGGATTGTTCATTATAACGGTTTAAGCGTTTTAAATTGAAATGGCCTTTGTACGAAAACGACTACAGATATTGCTTCAATGAGATTGACGATATATTTTGTGATGATATTCATTTGATATTATCGTGTGATTGTTTCATTAGCAGTTGAAAATGTGTGAGATTTTGAAAAATATAGGCGGTTGTCCGACTTCTTTTGTAATTCAATTTCCCTCATTTTACATTGTACAGATAGACAGAACTCGTTAAAAGCTTTTAATTTGTTTGAAAAAAAATTAACAACGTATTTCTATAGACAGAATCTTCAAAAGAATCGGTCAAGGCGGGTTACATAATGGCCCTAGATGAGAACTTTTTTTGCTCCAAATAAACTAAAATTGTCTAAAATGTAAACGAGCCTCAGGAAGAAATTAGTTAATTTAATAGTTATTGTGAAAATAAGTATTTTGAAAATAGTTATTTTAAGACTACCCACACGAGTTTTTCGTTACTTACTAACTTATCGTGTCGATGCTAACATTTAACATGGTTTTGGCCCAGTGCTTTGAATACATACTTACAAAATGTAACTGTAATGTACTGTAAAAAAACAATTATTACAGTTACGTTACTACATATACACACAATAATACACATTATAAACCTCGATCAACTATTTAATAGAAATACATTTTATAGAGACCGGCTCTGTTTCAAGACGACGATCTGATCCTGGTAGATCACGTGTGATGAGAATGATGAATGAGACAACGAGACAGTCCAACGCTTCAGATTGGACCCAACCACTTCAACCATATGGTTGCCCGAGAACTCAATCTCTCGCAGTAGAAAGTGTCGTTTGCTGTGAATATGGCGGGCCTATACCACTGTACGCTAGTTAAAGTAATTAAAAATGAGATCCATTGAAGAGGTTGGATTTCTGTAGATTGGATGCTTAATGCGGATTAAGAAGATCCAGAGAGAAAGAAGCGACTGAGACGCTTAAGTTTGAATATGTAGATGTGTATTATATATTAAACACTTGATTGGAATTTATTTTCTTACACTTACACATTCAGAATATAAATATGGAAGTTGATTTGGCCGATAATACTGACTGCGTTATTGACTGCACGAATGGCTTAGTGGTTTAAGCGGTCACCTCACCGCTTCTTGCCGCGCTGAGTGTTGTGGGTCCGATCCCTACATGGGACGACACTTTGAGTAATCTACAAATTGTCGTTCTGAGTCTTGGGGTTTGTTGTGTCTGTTTCATGTATGTTTGTAAAGTCCCCTGCGACACAGGATATATTCCTAGTGTGGGAGATGTCTTTAAAAAACAAAAGAGGCTTGCTCCCTATTACGTAAGTGGTCTCTCAAAACTATAGTCCATTGTTTGAAAACTTCGGTGCACTTACTAAAAATGAGTACGTACTAAAATATTATCCGTAATTTTCGAACAACCGTTAACAACTTTTAAGTGTTATTTTCGTGTGTAATCTCTAAGTCACTTGACTTAAAACGGCTGTAAAAGCAATCGTTGGTTTGCCTTTGTGTTCGGCGAAATTTTCTTGAAATTCCTGTTGTGATAATGGGCTATCAGTTTTCCTCGACGCGGAGTTGTTTAGCACCGTCTTAAAATACAATAACTATTTACTAAGTTATTATTCGTCAATTATTTTGTTTACAACTAAAACTTCATTTCAAAAGATTATTGTGTGAGTTCTTGTATTAAAATTTTAATTTCTTTTTTTTTGAAAAAACAGCTAATAAGTATAATTATCACTACTCCGTGTGGTGACAGATTAAAAATATGGAGTGTTATCACTCCTATTCATCCCCTTTTTTTTTCCGTGCGGAAATTCCCTCGGATACCACTATCGGTGGCATGTCGGACTCGAACCGACTAAAACCGCACGCCGTCTCGGGTACTAATAGCCGGGGAACCAGGTATACCCTAGAAAGGAAGTCCCTGGTGCATCCTATTCATCCCCTGGGTGTCGTAAGAGCCGCCTAAGGGAGCAAACTACGCAGGACAACAGCACTGCAAAGAGAAGGAAAACTTGAAACAAACCGTATACCAATCCGCCTTTCCAGTGTGTTATAGTAGGACAAAACCTCTCCTTCGGCCTTCTAAGGAGAGGCCAAAGTATGTCCAAAAGTGAACTATTAAAGACTGTTAATGAATCACAGCGAATAAGACAATGCATTGACGTTAGGGATCTAACGGAGAGTCAGGATCTTCCGATCAAGCTTTTGGTGTCAACGGTTGATATAAAGACGTTCTCTATAGAACGTGTTCATAAGTCT